CCCCCTAACTTGACCCCACAAACAGGGTCCACCCCCTAACTTGACCCCACAAACAGGGCCACCCCCTAACTTGACCCCACAAACAGGGCCACCCCTAACTTGACCCCACAAACAGGGCCACCCCCTAACTTGACCCCACAAACAGGGCCACCCCCTAACTTGACCCCACAAACAGGGCCACCCCCTAACTTGACCCCACAAACAGGGCCACCCCCTAACTTGACCCCACAAACAGGGCCACCCCCTAACTTGACCCCACAAACAGGGCCACCCCTAACTTGACCCCACAAACAGGGCCACCCCCTAACTTGACCCCACAAACAGGGCCACCCCCTAACTTGACCCCACAAACAGGGCCACCCCTAACTTGACCCCACAAACAGGGCCACCCCCTAACTTGACCCCACAAACAGGGCCACCCCTAACTTGACCCCACAAACAGGGCCACCCCCTAACTTGACCCCACAAACAGGGCCACCCCTAACTTGACCCCACAAACAGGGCCAACCCCTAACTTGACCCCACAAACAGGGCCACCCCCCTAACTTGACCCCACAAACAGGGCCACCCCCTAACTTGACCCCACAAACAGGGCCACCCCCTAACTTGACCCCACAAACAGGGCCACCCCCTAACTTGACCCCACAAACAGGGCCACCCCCTAACTTGACCCCACAAACAGGGCCACCCCTAACTTGACCCCACAAACAGGGCCACCCCCTAACTTGACCCCACAAACAGGGCCACCCCCTAACTTGACCCCACAAACAGGGCCACCCCCTAACTTGACCCCACAAACAGGGCCACCCCTAACTTGACCCCACAAACAGGGCCACCCCCTAACTTGACCCCACAAACAGGGCCACCCCCTAACTTGACCCCACAAACAGGGCCACCCCCTAACTTGACCCCACAAACAGGGCCACCCCCTAACTTGACCCCACAAACAGGGCCACCCCCTAACTTGACCCCACAAACAGGGCCACCCCCTAACTTGACCCCACAAACAGGGCCACCCCTAACTTGACCCCACAAACAGGGCCACCCCCTAACATGACCCCACAAACAGGGCCACCCCTAACTTGACCCCACAAACAGGGCCACCCCCTAACTTGACCCCACAAACAGGGCCACCCCCTAACTTGACCCCACAAACAGGGCCACCCCCTAACTTGACCCCACAAACAGGGCCACCCCTAACTTGACCTCACAAACAGGGCCACCCCCTAACTTGACCCCACAAACAGGGCCACCCCCTAACTTGACCCCACAAACAGGGCCACCCCCTAACTTGACCCCACAAACAGGGCCACCCCCTAACTTGACCCCACAAACAGGGCCACCCCCTAACTTGACCCCACAAACAGGGCCACCCCCTAACTTGACCCCACAAACAGGGCCACCCCCTAACTTGACCCCACAAATAGGGCCACCCCTAACTTGACCCCACAAATAGGGCCACCCCTAACTTGACCCCACAAACAGGGCCACCCCCTAACTTGACCCCACAAACAGGGCCACCCCTAACTTGACCCCACAAACAGGGCCACCCCCTAACTTGACCCCACAAACAGGGCCACCCCCTAACTTGACCCCACAAACAGGGCCACCCCCTAACTTGACCCCACAAATAGGGCCACCCCTAACTTGACCCCACAAATAGGGCCACCCCTAACTTGACCCCACAAACAGGGCCACCCCTAACTTGACCCCACAAACAGGGCCACCCCTAACTTGACCCCACAAACAGGGCCACCCCTAACTTGACCCCACAAACAGGGCCACCCCCTAACTTGACCCCACAAACAGGGCCACCCCCTAACTTGACCCCACAAACAGGGCCACCCCCTAACTTGACCCCACAAACAGGGCCACCCCTAACTTGACCCCACAAACAGGGCCACCCCCTAACTTGACCCCACAAACAGGGCCACCCCCTAACTTGACCCCACAAACAGGGCCACCCCCTAACTTGACCCCACAAACAGGGCCACCCCCTACCGTGACCCCACAAACAGGGCCACCCCCTAACGTGACCCCACAAACAGGGCCACCCCCTAACTTGACCCCACAAACAGGGCCACCCCCTAACGTGACCCCACAAACAGGGCCACCCCCTAACGTGACCCCACAAACAGGGCCACCCCCTAACTTGACCCCACAAACAGGGCCACCCCTAACTTGACCCCACAAACAGGGCCACCCCCTAACGTGACCCCACAAACAGGGCCACCCCCTAACGTGACCCCACAAACAGGGCCACCCCCTAACTTGACCCCACAAACAGGGCCACCCCCTAACGTGACCCCACAAACAGGGCCACCCCCTAACGTGACCCCACAAACAGGGCCACCCCTAACGTGACCCCACAAACAGGGCCAATAAGAAACCCAACCCTGGGCTAAGCATGACAGGAGGCCTTGGAAACCTGCCAGCTGCAAAAAAACACCGTAAGGCTTTAAGTGTGCATCTCCCGTAATTGACCCTGATTTAAAGAGCAATATATAAGACAATTTTGTAGACAAGGATTTATTTCTTGCATGCGACTGGCAACTCGTATCCCCACACACGTTAACTTGCTGATGATGCTGCATTTATTGGCATAACAAATAACTTAAGACACTCCTCGATCACACTGTGGCCAATTATGTGCACGTGATGGTGGTGCTATAAAGCAGGGCCATTGCCCGAAACGTCGCCTATTATGTAAGTATTTTTATTTTGTGTTTTACTTTTGCACCCTAAAAAAACGAGGATCTTAAGAAACGTGCACCCCACTAAGCCTTACTGCGCATGCGCAATTTCGCGGTAGGGGGGGGACTGTGGAACGGGGGGGCTGTGGGAGATGCGGGGTGGGGGGCTGCAGTGGGATGCGAGGTGGGGGCTGTGGGGGGGATGAGAGGTGGGGGCTGGAGGTGGGGGCTGTGGGGGATGCGAGGTGGGGGCTGTGGGGGGATGCAAGGTGGGGGCTGTGGGGGATGCGGGGTGGGGGCTTTGGGGGCTGCAAGGTGGGGGCTGTGGGGGGATGCAAGGTGGGGGCTGTGGGGGGATGCGAGGTGGGGGCTGTGGGGGGGATGCGAGGTGGGGGCTGTGGGGGGATGCAAGGTGGGGGCTGTGGGGGGATGCGAGGTGGGGGCTGTGGGGGGATGCAAGGTGGGGGCTGTGGGGGATGCGGGGTGGGGGCTGTGGGGGGATGCAAGGTGGGGGCTGTGGGGGATGCGGGGTGGGGGCTTTGGGGGCTGCAAGGTGGGGGCTGTGGGGGGATGCAAGGTGGGGGCTGTGGGGGGATGCAAGGTGGGGGCTGTGGGGGGATGCGAGGTGGGGGCTGTGGGGGGGATGCGAGGTGGGGGCTGTGGGGGGATGCGAGGTGGGGGCTGTGGGGGGATGCGAAGTGGGGGCTGTGGGGGTTGGCGGGCGGAAGCGGCGCGCGCCCGTTTCCTTGGTAACCAATCAACGTCGTCACCCTCACCACCATAATCCATGCGTCCACTCGCTCACTAACCGCTGTTAATCCGCTGTCATCATCAGCGGCAGCGGCGGCGGCGGCGGCCAAGCCGGGATGCGCTAGGGGGAGGGGTGAGCGAGTGGAGGCGCCGCGTGCGGTAAACACGAAGGCGCTGCCTTCGTGTTGAATGTGTAGACAATGCCTGTCGGCGTCGCGATTCATCGCCGCTTCTGTTGTGGTGGTTTTGTTTTGTTTACGGCTAATTGTGTCTATTACCGTGGCCGAGGCCGGAGTCAGCCCATACGTTAAGGACTGTCGCGTTGTGTGCGCGCGTATACGGTGTACTGGAGTGTGGTTGTGTACTGTGAGTCTATGCAGAAATTTAGTTCTATTGCATTGTGTACATTTGTGTATACGTATTGCACAATGTGCTTTCATTGGGTGCAGCCTGCGTAAATTTTGTTCTGTGTGTATCCCATTGGACGTGTTTGTGTATGCGGTACAGTACAGTATGCGGAGCGGTGGCGCAGCGGTTAGCGCTGCGAACCCGGCGACCCGGGTTCGATTCCCGCTCACGACCAACACCCAGTGACGATTATCTGAACCGGTCCCGGGCCTCCCCTAGGTCGACTCGGCCTCAAATGAGTACCTGGTGCGGTGTGTAAACATCGCCACTGGGGAGACAAAGGCGGTCGGGCGTGGTGCTGGCCACCCACCCCCTCGTGTGCCGTTCCGGCCTTCATAGGTGCTCGCTAACAGCACTTGCCCCTACAGTCTGTGAAGGCTACACGGGGGACCTTTGTCTTTGTACAGTAACATTGTGTACTGTTCTGTTGTATTGTCTTGTGGATGTTATGTCTTGTTGATTGTGTATACTTCGTATTATTGTGTGTGTACCGGTTATATAGCGATTGTATATCGAATACAGTGTTGTGTTTATATTGTATTGTGTATACAGTTTTATTTGATTGTGTATTCTGTATATAACTGTGTATAGTGTATTACTGTAGTTTATTGTGGTGTGTATATTTCTCTCGTGATGTTTTTATCCATATTTCGGCTTGGGTCATATCGATTGTGTATACAATTGTGTAGTTATGCGCGTTGTGTATATCGTATGTATATCATTGGGTGAGCTCTGCTGCGTTATTGCCTATACATACTGTGGTATATTGTGTGTATTTGTGCATGCCATATAAAACAACAATTGTGTTGTGTACCGTCTCGTGCACGGTATGCTATGTTGTGTACATTGTGTGTGTGATTATGTACATTGTGTGTGATTGTGTACATTGTGTGTAGGATTGTGTACCTTGTGTGATTGTGTACATTGTGTGTGTGATTGTGTACATTGTGTGTGTGATTGTATACGTTGTGTGTGATTGCGTACGTTGTGTGTGCGATTGTGTACGCTGTGTGTGCGATTGTGTACGTTGTGTGTGTGATTGTGTACGTTGTGTGTGTGATTGTGTACGTTGTGTGTGTGATTGTGTACGTTGTGTGTGTGATTGTGTACGTTGTGTGTGATTGTGTACGTTGTGTGTGTGATTGTGTACAGTGTGTGTGTTATTACGTACATTGTGTGTGTGATTGTGTACATTGTCTGTGTGTGATTGTGTACATTGTCTGTGTGTGATTGTGTACATTATGTGGGGCTCCTTGAGCTAATGGGACAACTGGGGATTGCTTGGGATAATGAGACCGAGATGCATGGCAGAGACATAGATGACATATTGAGGCTGAGACCCAGAGGTACACAACCTCAGTATGTACACAGCTGTAGGCAGTGAAAGCAACTCTTGTGAAGGAGCTGCTTGTACCCTGATGCCATTGACCAATAAACGCTTTAAATTATATAATTCTAAATTAACGTTTTTATTGAAAGTCAGTGGCGTGCTTATTTTTATTTTTTCTCTATCTTGTATTGCTGCTATCGTAGTTTGTTTTTATTGTTTGCTGTTGTAACTTTGCTGACCCGCCCATAACTTGACATTTGCGACAAAGAGCTTCTCGGTTTCCTCCGGTCCGAATCAAGATTTTGATTCTGATTTATCGCTGTGTTCCTGTTCAACTGTGAATTACAGGTGGATCTTCTGCCGTATTCGTGAAAACGATGTCTTACTAGTGAGTGCCGGCTTCTGTTTGAACCTGCTAAATGTGTCGGCTATTTCACGTGCTTCGTAGCAACACTTATATTTCACCCAGGAGAATGGAAAACGATCCATTAAAAAACAACGTCACTCACGGAGGGACACCCTCATACGGGTGGCCTCCCTTTGGTTTCACGATCCTTGCAGGTTAAAGAGAGCATCAAGAACACAACAACAAACAGCGGAAACCTGAAATCGCAGCCGGTGCAGCATAGCTGTTGTGTTGCAGAGGGACAGCTGCCGCTTGGTGTCCCCTTTGGTTCGACTGCAGCGGGGGAGGGGAATGGTTGAGACTGGTTGTGATTTAAGTTGCTGGGGCATTTAAGCGACCGATAACAATGACAACGTTTACAGTATTATTATCCTGATAAAACATTTTTTTATAAATAACGAAGTATTCAATTACATTTTAAATTATAAGTGGAAAAAAATGTGGAATTCACTTAAACAGTTGCCTTCAATGTAGAATAGAATCAAAATTGGCGAAGAGAAAATGGCTTCAAGGCACAATTGGGATGCAAAGATATTCCTGGAGGATTATAACGCGATAGATTAGAAGTAGGATTGGTCAAAGCCCTTATTAACTCTCGGAATGGAACAATGTAACATTGTGAAACGTTTTTTATTGCAAGCATTTAGGTCCGGAAGGAGCAAACCAGATAGGCTGAGGCGCAGCACATCAGTGTGGGCTTCATAATATCGCTTTTTATGGTTAGATCGCCTACATGTGAATGCGTCGTGAGCCCACCTCCACCCGACACGGCCAGTTAGTAAGATTTGTCACGTGAACACAACGTGCCAATTCGTTTTCTACTTATAACACCAGTGTGTTGAAAAGCAAACCCACAACATTTACAATTTCATTTCGCTCGTCATCACAACCACTTTCATCAGGCAATTGCCAGAATTGTGGGAGTGGGTGTTTACAGGACGTTTACATTTACGCGATCTACCCCAAAAAAACGTCGTCGTGAGCAATATTTGTCGCGAAAGCCTACGTGTTAGTTCAGTGTGGGCTGTACGTTCGTGTGTGGACGAGCACTTCTGCATTTGATCATTTTATGGCACATCACTACTGTTGCTGCCGACTGTTGACTCATCCCGAGTGCGCCAATATCTCCCGTGGCTGACTGTTTACATGGACTGTGGACCCCATGGAAATTTGGCCACATTGATCAAAGGGTTTGCCCCAACCCTTGGAGACACAAACTAGAGAAAAAAAATTACAATTTTTTTAAATCTGCCAACACATTTTGCTCATACGGTACTCATTGGCTATGTACAAAAAATTAAATACAAGGACAAAATCGTGTTGAAAAGTTTTTAAATGATCCTTGCATATGGATGGTTTATCCGAAGAACTCCGTAGTTTTTCGCGGTTGTGCTGTCTAGCTCTGGAGTGTGTTTTTGCATTGTTCGGCAAGATATCTGACGTTTCGCTCTATGTCTTGGATTCCTGAAAAAGCTACCAACACTTGAGAGCGAAACATCGGACATTATGGCGAAGTTGTGACGCAAGGTGTGTGTGTGTGTGGTGGCATGCGTGGTGGTGCCCTGCCGTGTGGGGACAAGCGGCTATTCTCCAGAGACGTACGACCCTCGCTGGGAGGAGAGGTCAGTGATGAACAAGGTGCAGCAGAAGTACTGGAAGACCAAGCAGACGCTCATCCGGGTCACAGGCAAAAAGGAGGATGAGTTTGTGGTGGCATCCGACTCCGACCTTGACAGGAAACTCGAGGTACGCCCAAGTATTAATTCCTCACTTTGCCAGGTTGCGGGGACACTGGAAGTTATATGCGACTAAGAATAGCCGCAGCCATAGTGAGAAGTATACTGCGTGTAATGTGCCGGACAAGGAAATATTTTCAAGGTCGGCAACTTGAACAGACGTGGCTGAAATGTTGCCCTAGGTACGGCCACCTCCTTCCTGTCCTTCCTCTCTCCTTTAAGTCTTTTAAATAGGAGGGCCTGACCTGCTGATTGTGCCGCCCTCCTCACCGCTGCGTGCAGTGTTAATGGCATTGAGGTGGCCGTGTGGCTCAGAGGTCAAGAGTGCTGAGCACGCACCGCTGAGACCCTAGGTTGGAATCCAGGCAGCCACCTGTGATTAAACCGCCTTTTGAAGTGAAGTCAGTCGATGGTCTTCAGCCCAGTCACCAATAACCACGTAAAATAATCCATCGCATGACATTTGATTCTGGGAATAAATATGATCATTTTGTCATGTGACGAGGGGTGGGAAAGCACCGCCCTTTATTGTGTGGACCAGAGGAGACTTAAAGGGCTCTGAGAAATCCCTCCGTGACATCCTCTTCTGTGGCCTGTTCTCCAACATGAATGGTCGCGCTCCTCCGTGAGAAATCTGATGGATACCAGAAACGGACCATTCCTTGGCAAACATCCCAATGGACGTGAATTTCGGCATTAGTCCAGCCGTAACGATCATTCAAATATTGGCAGCGTAATGGCAACGTCAATTTGTTTTGCATTCGGCGAACAGTGAATTATCGAGGTGGCTTCATAAAAATTGATCAAAGTGACATCAAGACACGTGGCGCCTGGCAGAGTGGAGGATGATGGCATTAATTAAATGGACACGGGTCTTATTCTCGGTACGCATCCGACATCTACTAAGGAGATTGAGCGATAAAATCGGATCGTGTGCAGGTGCTGAGTGGATTATTACATTGCCAAGTTGGCATAGTAGGGGGCACAGATGGTGCATCGGAGTGTCATCTTAGTTAACCCATGGCACCTGGGTCTGTCCCGTGACCTCCTGCCAAAAGGCGTTCAACACTTCACGTGGCCTTAAAGTGGTGATGTCACCGCCATTTAGTGGTGAATGGCAGTTGTTATTACATCGCCAGATCTTGAGGCGCAAGTCTTACCACTGCATCACCCAGACTGCCCGTGATGTTTTTTTCCCCAACTCCGCTAGAATGTGGTCATCAGCTCGTCTCTTCTTGCAGGTCTTCCAGGATGTCCAGAGGTCGTGTGTGGAGCTTCTCAAAGTCATAGAGCTGTATCAGAGGCGGCTTGGAGGTACTCGGCCTGAGTTGTATATCTCACTGTCCCTGTTGGTCACACCATTGGTGTTTGGGTGTTGTTAGGTTGTTGACACTGTTTTGTATTTTATATATTCAGTGTTTTTGGCCATTCATGTAAATTGTATTTTATGTAAAGTGCTATATGAAACGCCTTTATTGATGTCGGGTACACTTTATAAACAAATGAAGATTGATTGATTGTCCCATTGTTGACCCTGTGCCACTTTGTACCATCCGTGACATCATGCAAGATTACGTTGTGGACGGGTCTCATAAGCTAAGCAGCGTTGTGCCTGGTTAGTACTTGGGATGCGAGACTGCTGGGGGGATATCAGGTGGTGTAAGTTTGGGGTGTGAGGGGGTATGGAGCTGACTGTACAGCTATGGATTTTTGAATCTATGTGTGCGGAGCTGTGAGTATTATCCCCGAGTATGCTTGCTGGGTTTTCGTTTTCTCTGGATCTTCCGGTATGGTGCCATGTGACAAACACTCCCTTAATAGAATTGGCCGATGTACGTTGTAGCAGGACCCATCTGAAAAAGTCTGAACAGCAACAAGCAACAACAAAAATTGTATAAACATAGTATCTAATTGAAATTGTATTCCAAAATGCTTTACAAAATAAATATTAAGCATATATAAGGGTAAATATTTGGCGATGTACCGTGTGAAAGAAGTTCAACATACATATATACATACCAAGAGGAAGGGGGGCAGCCAGTGAGGCCTTCCTGGGTAAAGAAAGACCGTCATTCGTACATCGCAGGGCCGTGAGAGATGGCAACGGCCTGGGGGTGGCCTTCATGCAGCAGTGGATTGATGACGACGGCCGATGACGACGACGCGTTTGTAAATGTTTCCTTCCAGCGCTGTCGGAAGAGGAGAACGACATGGGACACTTTCTGAAGCACCAGGGATCGCAGGAGCAGACGAGGGCTGGGAAAATGATGCTGGCCACGGGGAAGGCTCTGTGCTTCTCCTCCCAGCAGAGGTGAGCAACGCGAGCGTCTCGCACTCTCCCCCGACGCTCCCCCGGCACTCCGCCCGCAGAGTGGGGGCACCTCGTCTCATGGGAGGGGGGCCTCCTTTGGTGACAGGAAGCCATTGCGCTAACGGCTGGTTGCCCGCCATGAAAATATTTGAAACTCCCATGCTCAAGAGTCCTCTGGTTTTTCGCTCCCAAATTTTTAAAACACGTGTTGAGATTATTTAGATAATTTTCCTGATATAAAGTTCCACACGATAAGCCACTTTGTTGAGCTATCATTTGTGGCCAGGTCGCTTCTGAAAAAGAAGTTACTAGCTCAGTGGGCTCTACCTGGTAAAATGAAAATAAAAAAAATATTTTATTTGTATCTTTTTAAGTGATTTGTTTAACTTTCCTTTGCATTGCACTCCAATTGTGTTTTTGTATTGTTTGTTGTAACGTTTTGACTCCGCCACTACTGGACATCTGTAAAAAAAAAGAGCTTTATAGCTCATCGGATTCCTCGAGTATGAATAAATATTCTGATTCGGTTCTCAAAACGGTCACGTATGTGGCTGGGTAAAGTGGGGGATACGTCTGCCTCTTCCAACACGACTGGTATGACGTCAAAGAGTAGACCAAAGTTTGTTCTAGTGGAGACCCTTCCACTGGCAGTGGCACGAGAAAGACATTGTAGGGCCGCACCTTTAACTTTTGTTCAGCCCTAGTTAAGGTAACAGTTGCCCACCCCTGCTTTAATCAGAATAAAGGGTAGTCCCCGACTACGATGGAGATGCGTTTTGACGACCCCATCGTAAGTCGAAAATATCGTAAGTCGAAGCTGGCCTAGCCTACCCAGGAGTCTTAAAGAATGGTGATAATTTATCAAAACAGAGCAATTTACAGTACCGTACTGTATAAACTATATACTGTATGTATTTATTAATTACAATACTGTATTGCACAGTAAAATTTACAGTAAAAAACAAGGTAAATTCTTAGCCTACCGATATGAACTGCAATTTCATAGAAAGTTGTTTTCAGGAAACAATCCTATCTGCTATAAAAAAAAAACTTTTAACATGCATTGAACGTATGTATCGTATTGTGGTAACCCTAAAATGAAATCGTTAAAGCTATGTATCATACATGCATTGAACGTATCGTAACGCATCATATTCTACTGTACTCACCAAGATTCTGTCTGTCGTCTGCATACTTGAACGATGTTTAGGTTGTTGATGGCTACATTAACTTAGTTGTCGGAAGAGGAGGATGGCGATGATCACGTTACAGTATCGTACCTCGTACGCTGCTGCGTTTGCCTGCCGCGCGAAATTACAAATATGTTACAATTTTGTGATGTCGCTATCGCCATCGTAAGATCGAAGTATCGTAAGTCGGGGACTACCTCTATTTATTTATACTGCAGGAGGAATCCAATGAGCTTTGAAGCTCTTTTTCACAGATGTCCAGTCGGGGCGGGTCGGCAAGCTGTGGGCCTCTCCGCGTCCGTCACGTTCCGTCGGCGGTTTCCTCCACCGTTTCCCCGCCCCCCGTTGTGAACCCAGGCTGGTGTTGCACCACCCCCTGATGCGACTACACCAGGAGGTGGAGACGTTCCGCTACCGCGCCATCTCCGACACGCTCATCACCATCAACCGCATGGAGCAGCAGCGCACCGAGTACCGCGGAGCGCTGCTCTGGATGAAGGACGTGTCGCAGGAGCTCGACCCAGACACCTACAAGCAGCTGGAGAAGTTCCGCAAGGTGAGGGACGCAGTTGTGCTGATGCAAGATGTGATGATTGTGCTGGAGGGACATTTTTCATACACTATTTATTATTTTGTTTTTGTTTTACCAGGTAAGACACACTGAGCTATGTAGCTCTTTTTCAGAAGCGACCAGGCCACAAATCAGAACTCAACGAAGTGGCCAATTGTGTGGAAATCTATAGCAACCAAATGCTCTAAACGGATGTTGGTTCTAAATGTGGAGGGGAAAAACCGGAGGACCCGGAGAAAAATCCACGCCACCACAGGGAGAACACTTAAACTCCACATATAAAGGCGTCAGGGTTGGGATCGAACCCACAACCTCCTGCATACCAGGCGAGGCAGATAACATCTCGCCACCATACTGTGATAGGGAAGGCAATAAGTGCTGGGCATCGAGATCAATAATTTGTTCTAAGAAACAAGCGACAGAAACAGATGGTAGCCCAAGACCATTCACCCCCAGATTTGGGGAAGATACATGGTGATGATTTGGCAATGGAATGGTTAATGAATAATGTCCCTCCACAATGAGATGAAAGGGTGATGAGTGGTGGCGATTGATGCCGTGGAACGATGAGAATTGTGATTATGTGTGTCAGTGGGGGCGATAGTATCGTGGTTAGCGCGCTGCGCTACGAACCTGGCGACGACCCGAGTTCAATTTCTGCTCACGGCCAACACCAGTGACGATTATCTGAACCGGTCCTGGGCCTCCCCTAGGTCGACTCGGCCTCAAATGAGTGCCTGGTGCGGTGTGTAAACATCGCCACTGGGGAGACAAAGCCGGCCGGGCGTGGTGTTGGCCACCCACCCCCTCGTGTGCCGTGCCAGCCTTCGTAGGTGCTACTCGCTAACGGCACTTAACCCAACAGCCTGTTACAGGCCATACGGGGGATCTTTGTCTTTGTGTGTCGCGAGGCAGGTGCAGACACAGGTGCGGGTGTCGAAGGGCCGCTTCGACAAGCTGAAGAATGACGTGTGCCAGAAGGTAGACCTGCTGGGCGCCAGCCGCTGCAACCTGCTGTCCCACACGCTGGCCACGTACCAGGTGAGTGGGGCGGCACGCAGTTCGGCCTTTTAAAAAGAATCTCTCTCGTCTTTTGACGCAATTTTACCCCGATTGCCTAATCGGTGCCGTGTCATGAGACACGGACGAAATTGGATGTCTCGCAGAGCGGTGCAATCCTTCGTGTTAGAGGGGTGATCTGACACCACGTCACTACGCCGGTCGCTGCAGGTTGGTGAAGGTGGGGAGGATAAGAGACTGGAGCGTACAGGTAAAGTACAGAAAAGTAGTTTAATGCAAACCCTCTGGCATCCGCCAAGCCACCTTGAAGTCCAGAGCCTATAACACCTGTCATGTGTGTGGTGGGTGCTCATCCAAGCAACGCTCGGGCTTCGATGAGATCGGCCTCGTGCCCGGGTGATTAGGTCGGAGGCACTTAGGGTTGGTGCATCCATAATGTATCAGCCCTCATGTCACGGGGATAATGGCGTTTGACCGCAGAGTGGTGAGGTGGCTGTGTGGCTCGGCACTGTTACCATGCCAAAGCACCGAGTCGGCATTTCCGCTTTCAAGAACAATCCCGTAAGCAGGCGATAATAATAAACACATTCACAGCCCATGTGTATATCTAATGTGTAGGTTGCTAATATGTATGTATACTTGTTTGTGTCTGGAACGAGGAGTTCATTCAAAGCGTGTGATATGTAGTGCAAACAAGGTTGACGCTACGAGAACGTTTTCTCTTTATCCCTATTGTTCGGTTTATCTGTCACGGCACTTGCTTATCAACCCGATTATTTACAATGCCTTGGTGCGTGACATGAGCCCTGTTTCAAAATCGTACATTGGATAGACGTGTGCTGTTGGATAGGGATGGGTGTGCGCAGGGGAATCCGTTGAATCTCAGCGGGTTGTTTCCCACTACATTGTTTACCCTGGTGAGTGGCGAGGAAGGTCAGATTAGTTGTTGCCAACATTGGCGAGTGTCAGGCGAGTGGTAAATGTCTGACGGGGGTCAGGTGAGTGTCTCGCCGACCCACCCGTTGGTGCGGGCGGCGCTGTGAGATCAGTTTGCCTTTACGGGTTTAGTCTCCCTTAACGCTCGTCTTCCTGCGGCCTCGACAGACCTCCTTGCTGCACTTCTGGGAGAAGACGTCCAGAACAATGGCCGCCATCTACGAGAGCTACAAAGACTACCAGCCGATGTACAAGGCTACGGACAAGGTATCCGCTGCACCGCCAGTGTCCCCTTCGACGTGCGTGCGCCCACGCCAGCCGGGCGAATAGCGCTGCCTGGCCCCACTTGGCAGGTATCCTGGCAACTATCCTTTTTTTTTCCTTTTCCCTTGAAAATTTTATCGCGTTTTTACCCCGATGTAATGTATGTGTATGTACGTTGAACTTGTTTCGCACCGTACGTAGCCAACCGCGCTAATCGTAGACGCGATTATCCCGATTGTGCCCTTAGCATCAGGTCATAAGTCAAAGAATCCACTCAGATTTCTTATAGAGTAGTGCAACTTTTTGAGTTAAATAACAGCCCGCAGAAGCGGATAATATAGAGCTCCCTCTGAGGTCCTGTACAGCATGAAGCAGCACTTTCCCACCCATCCTACCACACAGAGTAATGTTTCACACACAGCAGGTTGATATATTCGTTATTCCCAGGTGCTGGATTGAAACCAAATCAAGTGCAGAACTTAAATATAATGTTATGATTATTTTGTGTAGTAATTGGTGACTGGGCAGAGAACATCAGCTAACTCCACTTGCAATCAAGGTTTAATCCTCAGGCAGCTGCCTACATTGAAACCCAGAATCACAGCGGTGCCAGCTCAGCGCACTGACCTCTTGAGGCGTCCGGCTATTGTCCCGTCAATGCTTTTAACCCGCACCACGTGTGCGTGTCAGCCCGGCGTGCCAGGCCATGGAAAGAAATCTGCAAAGGAGACAGTGGGAGCGGGGGAGAAAGTGGACGGCGAGGAGCAACGAGACGCCACCGGGGATGACGATGAGTGAGTGTCACTTAGTGAAGTGGTTTAGCGGTTATGCTACGAACCCGGCGACCCGAGGTTCGATTCCTGCTCACGGCCAACACCAGTGACGATTATCTGAATGGGCGCTGGGCCTCCTTGTAGGTTGACTCAGCCCCAAATGAGCACCTGGTTGGGTGTGTAAACTTTGCCACTGGGTAGACAAAGGCGACCGGGTGTGCTGCTGGCCACCCACCCCTTCGTGTGCCGTGCCGGTGCTCGCTAACAGCACCTTGCCCCATAATTCTGTTACGGTTATATTTTACCCTTGGGCGCACAGCTGTGCCAACTCCCACACTCATTTAACTTTCACACACACAGCTGGGCATTGGAATAATTGAGGTTGGATGTGTTGTCCAGGCGCTCTGAGTTTCTGAGGATTTCAAACCAGGTGCCCTATGAATGCAGATTCTTACACACGGATCACCTTGTTCAGGGGGTTAGGCCCAAGTTGGGCCTACATTCGTATCACGTTGCATCCTGCACTGTTAGGTGAGGCCAACGTTTGTGCCGTTTCAGGTTGATCTGTTTGGGAGAAGACGGTTCCATGGGCAAGGCAGCTGCCGATGGTAAGATAAACGCCGGGCGTCATTATCCTACCTACAAACAGAATGCGTGAGGGGTGTGCTGGAAAAACATACAAACACACTGATACAAAACCTTATACATCTCGCAGAAATAAGTTGTTAGAATAAACACTGCATAAAAGAGATCCTGCGGTGGAGGATATTTTTGTTTTTAAGTTTTATTATTATCATCATCATCGGCTCCAAACCGTCACCACCACTCACTATCGCACATTGAAATGCACACCTTCCAAACTGCCTCGCACCTCCGATTAGCATGGTTGCCTACGTACGGTGCGAAAGAAGTTCAGCATACGTATCGCACAGTTCTCCTGATGTACCAATCCATCTTGCTCCTGCTTGCTAGCTGATTTCATCGCTCCGTCTTTGTGATAGATGTCCTCTTGGCTGTGTTCCCTTCTTGAGCTGACTCGCGCTAGTCTCAAGCACCTCGTATGTGCGTTGAAATTATTTCATGCCGTACATAGCCAACTGTGCTATTCAGAGTTGCGGAAAACAGATTAATAGTAGCCTTTGTTGACGCGTCCAATTCATTTCACTCGGTGGAAATAATTGCAGCCATCTCATCAACTTGGGCCAAAGGGAAAATGTTATTTACAAACAAAAAAACATTTTCCAAAGATGCCACACTCAAGATTTTCATCAAGTAACAAAATAAAAGGGGAAAAGGGGACACTGTCACCAAAGTCATTCACAGCGGCGTTTGAATGCTTAAATTGTTCTGAAAGTTGAATTGAAACAGAATGAGAATATGTATTTATCCTGGGGAAATCCGATGAGCTATGAGGCTCTTTTTCACAGATGTCCAGTAGGGGGCGGGATTGGAGAAATGAAGGCAGAAAAATAAACGACGACATAGCCATGGTGTGAGAGAAGAAGCCGCCAGATAAGTGTTTTGACCTGCAGTGTGGTGGGTGATCACAATGTGGACATAAGCATGTTGAACTTCTCTCTCACCCTATGTAGCCAACCGTGCTAATCGGAGGTGCGGGGGGAAGGAAAGCAAACTAAACACCAGTTTACAGCTGTGCTAAATGTGCTGAGCTAACCGTGACAGCTGATGGTTCTGTCTGGCCCTCGAGTGTCGGGGATGGGCGCCAGCGCTAAGGGCCGCGTGTCATTTCTCAAAGGGGCCGATGGCACCGGCTCGGGCGGTGCGCTGGATCTCACCGACCTGGGCCACGCTCTGGCTGGCACTCCCGCCGGTGAGTCTGGAGCACGGCGCTCCTTCGTTGCATCTCGGGAGCTAAGCAGCGCCAAGCCCGGTTGGCGCTCGCGTCGGTGACTCACGGTTCCAGGTGTTGTAGACTTGGGCTGCAAGCTACCAACGCACTTGGCTTATCACTCAACAACAACAACAAACTATATCAGGGCAGAAGGTGAGTTAATGGAGTGAGTTAATGGCAGGGAAATGCAGGAGGAGAGAGCAGCGCCACAGCACAACCCGGGACGAAGCATCCTGGGCCTAGCACCAACAACGAGCCCTGTGCCTCTGTCTGCCAGTCCGTAACTGGGGGTGACAATAGAACTCTCGTACGATGATCCGTTACGAACCAAAATTTAACGTAAAGTTGTTGCTGCTATTGCGAACTTGGCCAACTGTAAACCGTTCACATTGATTGACTGGTTGGAGACAAAAGCCAGAGCAAAAAGGACTTGCAGTAAAACCTTGGATTGCGAGTAACTTGGTCTGCGAGTGTTTTGCAAGACGAGCAATTTTTTAAAATAAATATTAATTTGATAAACGAGCGAGGGTCTTGCAATACGAGCAGTACGTATACGCTTTGTCTGCCGAGCTTCACCTGATCACAACTGATATACGAGTGCTTTGATATACGAGTGCTTTGGATTACAAACACGTTTCTGGAACGAATTATGCTCGCAATCCAAGGTTTTACTTTATTTGCAAATGTAAATTCATCGGCTTAAGTACTTGCGAACGAAATACCTGCGAGAACAAACGCACGTTTGGAGAGCGTTGAATAATAGATTTACGCTTACGCGCGATTTCTCCTAACTTTTCTGGAAAGTGCTTGGATTGTATTTGGTTCAGTATACAGTATCGAACTTCTTTCGCACCGTACGTAGCCCACCGTGCTAATCGGAGGTTCGTCGCTATAGGGGCCCGCGACGTGCTGTATCACTCGGCAGACGGCGAACGGGATGTGATGTCGCTGCTCAACGACATCCTCAACGCTGGGGCGCCGGGCGAGGAGGGGGAGAGCGGGGGCTTCAGCCGGCAGTGGTACGATGTGTTCGGCGATGACGGCGGCCCAGCAGGGGAGACCTGGCCGCAGCAGTCCAGGCAGCAGCAGCGGCAGGGCGCCACGGCTCTGACTGCGACGGCGCCCGGAGGCCCAGGTTCGAACCCTGATGGGCCTCCCGCCCCGGGACCCACGGTGGGCGGGTTCCTCCCGTCGCAGCTGCTGGACATGAGCTCGCGGAACGAGGGCTCCGCCCGGCCGGGTGAGCCTCCACGCTTGAACCCACCGGCCTATTTGTAAAAGGGACGCGGTACGCTCGGGGGATGGGATGCTGCCGTGGACGCAGAGCCGTCCCTAGGGTGTACGGCGAATCGGGGCGGCCGCCCGGGGTCCCCCACGCTTATGGAGTGGGCCCCCTGCGCTTCGATGTCACGGTGTCAGACGTAATACTTCTGGTTTAGTTTGAAGGCGTCAGGGGTTCGGGTGGGGGGCCCCACACGGTGGGATTTGCCCCGGGCCCTGCACCCTCCCCACTATGGGCGGCCCTGCTTGGACGTGATGGTATCGCACTGAACTTGTCAGCCAGAGGTCGCCGGTTAAATTCGATGCTTCAGGGGCAGCAGCAGCTGAAACAATGGTGCGAGTTTATCTAATCCCCCCTCCACCCCTGCTGCCTCTGTCAACCCAGCATACTGGAGGAATCAGATGAGCAATAAAGTTATTTTTCACAGATGTCCAGTGGGGGTGGGTCAGAACGTTACCAATGGGTTCACCACAGTCAATCGGTAGGCAGCATGTGGTGGTGTAGAGTGTGGATGCTCCCACCCCTTCCGAAACGTCGGCATGGAAGAGGTGAAAATTCCCTCTCTGAGGTGCTCGAGAGCTTCCTCTAGTGGGAGTGCCCTTGTGCCAGCGGTGGCGTAAGTAATTGCGGGGTTGCACCTTTACCTTCCCTCCCTCGCTGTCTTGCTCGAGCCGTTTTACATATTCGGAGAAGTTGCCGACACCGCATACGAGTGCACATAAAATTTACTCGTATGCCTCATGTGCTGTATTTAGGCACGCATAACAGATCTGTCCCTCAAATGAGCCCCTATGTCAGGCGTATAGCCACGGTGAGAGCAGTGTACGTGGAGGCAACCTGGACATATATTACCAACATCCGGAGGCAAATCTCCCAGGATAGCTACTTGGGTTGGCGCCATCGATGTTGCATCCCCCACACCATATTGCTTTAAAAAGTCATTGATCATTTTCAGCCCTTTGTTAATTCACTGCTGGATGAAAACCTCCCCATGCCAAATCAGTCATGTCAGCTGTTTGACCACATTTCACCGTGCTGGTCAATGTGGGTTAGTGAAATGGGAGGGGGGGGTGTGGTGCGATAGCCAGGACCAGTTAAGATTATCACTTGCCACCGATGTTAGCGGTGGCCGGGATTCAAACTCGCGTTCAACGGGTTCAAAGTGCAGCATGCTAGAAACCGCACCACCGCTTTCCTGTTCTGAAAATGATGTTTCTCGTGTTCGTTGTAACCCAGGTTGGTCCCTTCCAAGTAACAGAAAGCAGTTTTCAGCCACATCCCAGGCCGATGCCCACACAGGACTGGGTCATGCCACAGCCAAACGTAAGCACATGTCGGTTGGTGATCCAACACACGCCGATTCACTCCAGGTCACTCATCAGTAGTCAATCATCAGCAGTCAGATTTTAGCTGTCAGAGGAACCCCCCAAATGTGTCGAATATATTTTAAATAATGTTAATATTTGTCTGACTCTCGTGGTGCTGATGACGTTCTAGTGACTCGGCTGACTCGTGGTACAGCTGACTCAGGTGCATCGGCCTGCCTCTCGAGCACCGGCTCATCGGCACGAGTTCCCCGTGCGGTGACTCTCTTGCTGTCCCCCCTCTCCATCCGGCAGCGATTGTGGACGGTGCTGGCAAGCCCGGAAAGGACATGTCGGCGTGGTTCAACCTTTTCGCCGACCTCGACCCGCTGCAGAATCCAGACGCCATCGGCCGCACCAGCGAGGACCAGGAGCTGATGAATGCATGAGAGCGCTACCGGCCACCGGCCCCTGACCCCCGACACCCAAACACCGACAGGAGTTTCCCCCGTGACGTCGTTTTCCAGGAACGCCTGCTTATTGTTAGCGGCGCTCCCAAGTCGAAGCCGAGGTTTGACCTGGAGGGAGGCCGAGTCGCGTCGGGGCTCTGCCTCTAAGGGTGATGGGCCCCACTGATCTGTGTGCCTGTAGTCAGGAGTCTTGTCGGGAGAGGGGCGGTGCGATGGGGAGAGAAGGGCGCTGCGGTGCGGGAGACTGGTGATCCAAAGAGGAGAGGGGGGTGGTGTGGAAGAAGCAGTAATAAGAGGGGGTGGGTAACAAGCTAATAAGGGCAGACCGCCCACACCTACACCCTCAATGTGAAACTCAATAACTGGGTTTTAAGAGGGATACGGAACCCCCCCCCCCCCCAAGTTCTCCATAGAATCGCTGCCGGTAGCAGAAAACGCTTTGTCAAAAGCCCCCAGGGAAGATAGACGGCACGCTTCCACAGTAGAGCGCACCGCTGGGCTAGATGCGCACACTGCACCGCGCTGTGACATAATTAGTTGAATGCACTGATCATACACGCTCACTTTCGCTATAGGATGGTGTTTTCAAACAAGCCCTTTTGACGTGAGAATATAAATTGTATTGACGCAACCATTTTTACCGAACACGTCTTTTTTTTATAAGACGAAAAAATTTAGATTGCAATAGTTTAAAACTGGTTTTACATGAACGGTAAGGTTCCGTCAAATTTGGTTGCACCAAAACTGGTTTGTGTTCGCCAATGTGAAAACGGCATCGTCGCAAATTCTCACTGCAAGTGTGGTGGCGCTGCAGGTGATGAAGCAGTAACATTAGGCTTGTAACAAATCAAAATGTCAAGATTCATTACCACCGTTCACTTGAAGAATCTATTATTTATTCAGTCTCGTGTGTGTTGTCCGTCTAGTTGTTTTTCCATTTGCCAAAGTGTTACATTTGCCTATCATTTACATGGAATTTGCATAACCCGTAAACATTTGCTTCTCACACGCGCGAGTTGATGCATGTGTTATCGCGAGTGTAGGAACCGCGTACGATTGAGGACTCGTTATTTGCCCAGTCGGTGTTGTCAAAAACGAAGGCCGGCAAACATTCGCCGCTCGCCTCGTGGTAGCCCTGCCGGGCCACGTTGCTATGCGTATTTAAACCAGGTGTCGCAATAAGTACGTGTATGCTAATTTATACACGTCCTCTTTAAACAAAAAAAAGTATCCAGCCACGGTATGAAGTTGGAATGTATTTACGTTATTTATAAATACTGCTTATTTAAATGACTTTGTTTTGTATGAAACAAGACGGTGTCAAAATAGTTAATGTAATTATTTACATTTGCAAGGCGCATTTCATCTGTAGATCTCAATGCGCAAACTTGGAGGTTTCTTCCACGTGACGACTGGCCGACTGATTGCTGGAGCGGTAGCTTACTCCACACTGCAGTAATAAATAGACGGGACCGTTGTCAAAGCAGTTGGAAGTTTATTTAACGTTACCGACTAAATACTGGGAGGGTGATGGCTCACGCCACTGGCTGCCGTGGGAAATGCAGTGAGGAATGGAGGTCAGAGCCGTTGACCGAATTCTAGAAGTGTGGGGTAGCTGACTCCGTCATGCATTGACGGAGTCATGGTGTCAATACGGACCGAATACTGGGGGTGGTAGTTAATTCCGCTGACTGCGGTGAGAAACGCAGGGCATGAGAGGAATGGTCAGAGCTGTTGTCTAGACGTTTTGATCGCTGTGACGCAACCAGCGCCACTGGCTGTTCCGTCGTCACAAGTAGACTGAGGGAGTGCAAAGATCGAAAAGAAACTCAAGTTAACAACGGCGAGCACGAGCAATAGGAAACCGTTCCTGAAACGCTCGGCGAGTAATCGTGCGCTCAGCGATGCTTACCGTCACGACGTCGTGAAGAGCATTATTCCCCTAAGTATTAGTCCCTTTCGCCCAAAGAGCCCATATCTTATTATAAGGAATGAACGGTGAACGCTTACAAAAAGAAAGTGTCTCAATCATCGTGGATAAGTAACTGCCCAGTCCTCCACAGTGGGAATCTTCCCAGCTTCCTTGGTGCATGCAGTGAATGCAGGGTTGCCACCTGCCCTGGGGAGGCTGCTGTCCTAGGAAATGTCACCCCAGGACATTAAAAGTCCGGGTTTTTATCACCTGCTTGACACACACCGCTCAAGAAAATGCATTTACATGTAGTTCCCATTCTGGTATTGTGCGATATTCTTCTCTACATTATATAATGCTGTTTTTTTTTAGTACCTCAAGAGGCGGGCAGCACTAGAGTGGGTGAGCTGCCGTCGTACATAATGACTGCGTGACACGCGCCCCGGTTTTAAAGTTGTTCTTCACTGCCTGCAAACCCGGCCCGCACTGGACCGTGAAGTCCCGGTGTCGGAAAAGCGTTGGCTTAGCTCGTTTGGTGATGTTGCTGTCACCTCCTTCCCCACTGTGCTTCGGACAGCGGGAGAGTAACGGCGCAGCTTTCTCAAGTGTGCGCAGGCGTTGCAACTGCACCAAGGGCCAACGACGGGCTAGAGTGGCCCAGACGCCAGGGCCACAAAGAGAGGGGGAGGCAATTGGGACAGGGGGTAGAGGTTAGGCCCTGTTTCATAACTTGCACCAGGGCCCAATGCCAACCGTGCTACGCCAACTGCTGGAGGGAAGCGTCGGAAGATGTACCGCCACAATTGTACCGAAGTCGAGTACTGTGAAATATTTATTTAAACAAAAATTAATAAATCTTCGTGTTGAAACTTGTGATTGCCGGGTCCCACTGCAGGGAGTGGCACATCACGTGTGAAGGACACATGACCGAGCAAGTTCTGAGTGCGGTGGCCGTGTGGCTCAAGAGGTTAGAGCACTGAGCGTCCTGGGTTCGATCCAGACAAGCCGCCTGTGGTTAAACTGGGTTCTCAATTGTAGCGACTCCACGGTCTCAGCCACGTCGCCAATGATTGCACACACACAACAAAACATAACATTACATTTGGCCGTGCATTTAAGTTTGTTCAATTCCATCTCTGAGAATTCACAATATCAATTTGACTGTTATGCGAGACCAGATGTCGGTCGAATGGATCTCCGAGGTAGCCCTATGATATCCGCTTCCGTGGGCCGTTCTCAAGCACAAAGCGTTGTTACTGCTCTTTGAGAAAACCGAGTGGATTTTTACTCGAATTACGTGATGTTGGCACAATAGGAGTAAAATTGGGGAAAAATACTAAATGTAAAATATACAAAAGGTGGGTCAGTCTCTGAACCAAATAAGTTACTTGAGTTATATTTATCCAAATACTACTTGGGCCAGTAGTTTAACACGTAGGCTTTCGTGACCAATATCCATAATACAGAGTTTTTTTGTTAGATCGCGTGCATGTGTCGTTAAACCCACCACCACCCGACAGCCAATTAGTAAAGGTTTGTCACGTAAACAAAACATGCCAATTCGTGTCTAGTACAGCACACCGATGTGTTGGAGAGTAACGAATTGGCATGTTCTATTTACATGACAAACGTATTGGCTGTGTCGGGTGGTGGCGGGTTTGACAGCACATTAATATTTACGCGAACACCGATATTATAATATCGGCAGCCCTTTGTCAATCCGCTGTTGAAGGGCCTCCTTCACGCTTCCGGGTCATATGGGTTTGACCATACTTCACCGCACCAGTCATTGCAGATTGGTGCATGGAGTTTGCGGGCCCCCAAGACTGGTTCGCTCGCCACTCGATTTTCGCCGTCGACGGGTAATCGAACTTGGGTCGCCTTGGTTGAAAAACGCAGTGCGCTAACCACTGCCCCACCGCTCCCCACCTCCCACAATGCAACGTCTTTAACGGAGGAAAGTCTCACGGAGAGTCTCGACACTTTGAGGAGGGAGGGCGCTGCTACATTGGGAAGGTTTGGCTTATTCTTTGGGAGTACCTGGAGAGAAAAAAAATTACTCCGCACGGAAGGATTCAACAATCCGTTGTGATCTCGGTAAGAGCGAGCAGCCTTTGCAGGGGCGCTTGCTGTGTGACGTCATGTAACCCACGCAACCCTGCGCGCGACGTCACTCGGCATTTCTCGGCACCGGGGTGCGCGTGACGTGACGTCACCCACGCGACAGGCGGACGCCACCGCAACGGTGCGAAACGCGAGCGACGTCACTGACAATATGAGAAGGCGGGGGTACTTTCGCGTGTGACGTCACGCGCACCAGGAAGTGTGCGTGACGTCATTCGCTAAGTACACGTGGTAACGTCCGTGCCGCACGTGGCTCCACTTTGTCCCTGAGCCACGGGACCCCCACGCGTCTCATCTCTCCTCTTGCTCGGGGTGGTTGGGAGGGGACCCGCGATGGCGTCAGACCTGAAGGAGCTGAGCAAGAAGGTGACTGCTGCTGCTGCTGCTGAATCGTGACTCCGTTGCACCGTGGTGTTTGTTTGCGACTTTTCACTCATCCGCCAAGCCTCGCTCGCCAGCTTGAACACGCAGGCTCATTCGACTGCGTTCCTTCGCCGCGGTTTGAGTCGCCACGATTCATTCACCGCGGTCCACTCATTCACCCCGGTCCACTCATTCACCCCGCGTCACTGCCGTTCGCTTATTAGCTGTGGTTCGCATATTCGCACGGGTTTACTTTCACCAATTCAAGCTGGTTCGCCGAGTCACTTACAGTTCACTCCTGCACTAGGTTCACTCAACGCGTTCATTTATACTGGTAGGAACGAAGTTGTAAACTGAGTGTACCAGCCTGCAATAGATTAATGTGTCCGTCCGTCCCCTTTCAATACTTTAACGAAGTGAAATCTCGTGCTGTTGGGGTGTAAAAATAAAATTGCGCAAAATTCCAATGTTCCTACCAGCCCACCCTGCAGGGACCTGTTATTGGTGCCATCTACAATTCTACATCGTTCATTCACCAATGTACAACGATAACTAAGCCAGACTACGCCTCCTTTCCCATATTTGTCTCTTCACGTAAAATGTTTAAAGTCATTTTTGTTACGCATTCCATCGGCCACGCGGGCTTTCGAAAGTGCAATTTGCGAGCAATCATTGATTTAACACGCGAAAACTCTAGACTGGTTTTCGACATTTAGTGGCTCGTCAGTAGAGTTAAGCTTGTAGCCTGACAACAAAGTCAGAGTCTTGTAACGTTCTAACCTGCCCCTACTGGACATCTGTGAAAAAGAGCTTCATAGCTCACCGGATTCTTCCAGTATAAATAAATATTCTGATTTCGACTTATGCCTATCAACCGCTCTAACCGTCTATGAGACTGCTGTGCCCTCTGCCAGGCTATACTGGACCCGGTCCTGGACTCTAACCATGACGCGTGTTGCGCAGGTGCGGGACCAGACGGTACTTTGCGAGGAGCTTGCGGGGCTGGCCGCTGGCAGGGTGAGTGAACCCCACTCGGATCCATCATCATCATCATGACTGCGCCTGTCAACGCGGGAGGGGTTGGCCACACATTGGCTGCTGATGATGCTGAATGCGGCCTTTGGGGTGACGGTGGTGAATGTGGCATTGGGGTGACTTGGGTATTGGCCCCAGTACGCAGGGTGGACTGGCAATGGGCATGCAAGGGTCAGGTAAGCGATAGTTATTGAATCAAGTGGAGGAATCCGAAGAGCAATGAAGCTCTTATTGGGCAGGCACAGGGGCAGGTAAGCAAATAATAATGTCATTTGTAACTCGCACGATATTTCACAGACATACATGGCTGTGACCCTGAGGCGTGGGATAATTAAGGGACAGGCTTGGAAAAGTTGATTGGGAATGCAGGTGGCAGCCAGTGGGCATGCAGGAAGATAGCTCATGGGCATGCAAGGGATAGTTTATGAGGAGGACCGTATCATCAAGAAGCACGTAAGAGACAAGCAGAGGATTGGTATGAGGCACGTGAGGGACAGGAGCGCTAGGCACCCATGCCCTGGCCTGTTGTTGTCTTCACAGAGCGTCTACATGCAGCAGCCAAACAGCGACATCTTCTTCCTGGCAGAGAAACCCCAGATGCTGAGCAAGTGCAGAAGTGAGTGGCAGGGTTCGCCGTAGCCCGGTTTACCTTTCACTGACCCGTAATCTTACACCAAAACCCTAACCATACTCCTGACTTATAATCGTGGCTGTAACCACCGACCTTACATCCACTCATAACGCTAACCCCGAATACTGGCGTTATGGTTCGTGCATTGAATTAACACACGGGTGACCTTGCAGCGAGTTTAGAAGTTCCGTGAAATCTCCGTGTAATCCACCGACCTTTGCCTGCAAAGCATCTGATCGCAGGCGTGTGTGCGCTTCCATGTTCAGCTCGGTCTGTTGTGAGATGGTGTAGGTATCCTATGCGCTCTGTCCCCTGGCCTCTGGTCGCCGTCTCAATCCAATCTCTGCATCACCTCTGTCCACCCAGAAACGCTCGACGACCTCAAGCAGCAGGAGAAGAAGCAGGAGGCAGCGCTGGCGAGCAGCACCGCCGAAGATTCTCACAAGCGGCGCTCCTTCCACTGACGTCTGTGCGGGCGGAGGAGCAGACCCAGGCGCCCGCCATGTGCGGGATCTTCTGTGCGGTGGTGCCGCACGACCCCGCGATCCCTCGACCCGATCCCCTGCCCGACCGATTGACCCGGGACCTTTTGGAGGGGCGGGGGCCCGACCTTGGCGGGCAGCTGACGGTGGTGGCGACGCCTGACGACGCCGGCGCCGGGACGGGCGCCAGCTTCGAGCTGCGGTTTCTGGCACGAGTACTGCACCTGCGGGGCGACTCGCCCGAGCCGCAGCCGGCGGTGGACGCTCGGGGAAACGTGCTGCTGTGGAACGGCGAGGTGTTTGGGGGGCTTGAGGTGCCCCCCGGAGAGAGCGACACGAGCGTAGTGCTGCGAGCGCTGGCTGGTGACGGTGGCGACAGTGGCAGCGATGGCGTCGACAGTGCCATCGTCTCCACGCTGAGCCTCGTACGGGGCCCCTGGGCGCTGCTCTACTACCAGCGTGCCAGCCGATGCCTCTGGTTCGGCAGAGACTGCTTCGGTCGCCGCAGCCTCCTGTGGCTGTTCCCGGAGGCTGGTGATGCTGGTGATGGCGGTGGTAGTGGCGGTGGTGGTGGCACGGTGGATCCTCGCTGGTTTGCCATCAGCTCCGTGGCATCACAGCAGGTGCCTGCCGGTGCACGGTGGTCAGAAGTTCCAGCTGATGGAGTCTACAAGGTGCATCTGGGGAGTGGTGGTAGCGGTGGTAGTTGCCTCCATGTTGAGTGGTTTCCCTGGCGCTGGAGCCCACCGGAGTTGGCTCCACCATCTGGCGTGGATGGAGCTGCCAGAACGACACCCGACACCCAGGACGACTCCTGCCACTGTCACTCGGGATCCCCTCTCGACACGACCCCCCGTCCATTGGGAGGGACGAGAGGAGAGACTCCGACCGAAGAGGATGGAAGAGCGGAGGAGTTGCCGCCGTTCTTCTGTGTGACAAAGAGCAAAGCTTACCCGGGACTTCGCTCATTTGTGCCACCCATGAACATGAGCGTGCCGCAGTCCCCGAGCGCCCACCCTCAGGGCCCACACCCTCAGGCCCCCCACCCCCAGAGCCCCCACCCCCAGGACCCCCACCCTCAGGGCCCCCATCCTCACGGTCCCGGCCCGCTAGGCCCCGACGTGATCTCGGAGCGCATGGTGGCCGCTCGGCAGTTGGTGGAGGCTCTGGATGAGGCCGTGCGTGTGCGATGCATCCCAGAGAATTGTGGCGGCGGTAGCGGCAGCAGCGGAGCAGGAGAAGGCGGCGTTGGCGTTGGCGACGGCAGCACTGACGATGGCGGGGGCGCGGGTAACGCCGGTGGTAGCACCAGCGGCTATGGCGGAAATGGTGGTAGCATTGCCGGTGAGGCTTCGGTGGCCGTGCTCTTCTCGGGCGGGCTCGACTGCATGGTGCTAGCGGCGCTGGCTCACCGCCACGTCCCGGCCCATGAGCCCATCGACCTCCTGAATGTCGCTTTCGAGTGCCGGCGACGGCCGCTGGGCGGTGCGGTGGCTTCCGGTATCGGCAGGCGCCATCGAGGCCACGGGAAGAACTCGCGGAAGCCGGCGGGGGCACGGAAAGGCGACCCTCCAAAGAGGGGGGCGCCAGCTGCTCAGGTGGCGAAGGATGAGCGCAGCAATGGAGACGGGAGTGCAGCACCGCCGGCGGAGAGTGGGGCTGGTGAAGAGGAGGTGGAGATTGGAGGGCGGGACGGAGGACCGTTTGATGTTCCTGACAGGTGAGACTGCTCAATCAGTCGATCAAGATGTTTTATTTCAAACCAAGTGAGACTAAATCTGTAATTGTGGAATACTTTTATGTTGTCGGCCAACCAAGTCGCCCTTGAAACAGAACTTTCTGAGCTCAATGGGATTTGCTCGTTCAGATGTCACTCACTGCTGATGTTAGCTGGTGCCAACATTCGAACTTAGTTGGCCGGGTACACAGCGTGGTACGTTAGGCACTACGCTCGCATAGGGAGAAATATATAACTTAGATTTTCGCGAAAATACAAAAAAATATTAATTCGCAAGTAGAGGTGGTGCGTTTTCACCTGCTCCGCGATTGAACAACAACAAAGCGTCACTCGTTCTCGCCCTCCGTCGGGGGTGCCCGTGCCAGGCTAAGTGCACGAGCGGGGCTGGAGGAGCTGCGGACGCTGTTTCCCCACCGCCGCTGGCGCCTGATCGGGGTGGACGTGCGTGCAGATGAGCTGGCGTCCGCCCGCGCTCGCCGCATCGCCCACCTCGTCCACCCGGCGCGCTCCGTGCTGGACGACGCGCTGGGATGCGCCCTGTGGTTCGCCGCACGCGGTCGCGGAGAGCTCCTCCTTGATGAGGGGGACTGGGAGGGAACAACCGCGAGTGAGCCGGGGTCACCGCCGCCAGGGTCACCGCCGCCAGGGTCCACCACCACCGCCGCCGCCGCCGTCACGATGCCCGCTGGACCGGAGCTGTTTGTGAGTCGAGCCAAGGTGAAGTCCAGTTGCTGAGTAAAAATAATGTCGTTTCGCGTCTCAACGTTCTTGCAGTAGATTGTGCTACCTTGGTTGTTGACGCTGCCATGGTGTAATGGTTGGCACACTGTACTGGTGATCTGCATGTCGCCGGTTTGGTTCAATCTCACGGAGTGGTAGTTGAAACAATGACCACTCGCCCCCCCCACCCACCAACAAGCTAGTCATTCGCCCAATGGCTACCAGAGCCTCCGATCCCACAAATAATGGCGGAAGCAAATAGTGAGGTTCTTTTGAAATTGATCCGGGGTTGGATTGGGAGCCAGTAGAGGGATTGGGCTGGTTGGCGGTTCACCAACCCTTTCCTCCAAAGCACCAGATCACAGGCATGCACTACCACCACCATGCCGGGCGTGCGTTGTGCCCCATCTCTGTGCCATCGAATGGGGCACCGCGTTGGCGAGATGTTATCTCCCTCACCTGGTATGCATGAGGTCGTGGGTTCGACCCCGACACCTGTATATTTGGAGTTTGCTTGTTCTCCCTGTGGTCGCGTGGATTTATCTTCGTGTCTTCCGGTTTTTCCCTCCACATTTAGAATAAACGTGCGTTTGAGAGTATTTGGTTGCTATAAATTTCCACGCGATAAGCCACTTCGTTGAGCTATCATTTGTGATAGCCAGGTCGCCTTTGAAAAATAGCTATCTCGCTCAGTGTGGGCCTTACATGGTAAAATAAAAATAGTTTGAATAGTTTAATATGATGTGTTCCAATCCACGAGCCTCACTTTTTGGTGCTTCGCTCCTCTTCTTCCTCAACCCCCCCCCCCCCCCCCCCCCCCCCGTCAGGTTTTGCTGAGCGGTCTCGGCGCGGACGAGCAACTCGCTGGATACTCACGGCACGCAGCACGGTTCCGGCAGGGAGGCTGGAGCGCCCTGGCCGCCGAACTGCGCGCCGAGTTGGGCCGCATCGGACGCCGGAACCTCGGGCGGGACGACCGCGTCACGGCCGATCACGGCAAGGAGGCCCGGTGAGCAGTGGGCACCACCGGCATTCGTCATCGTCAGCCGTGATCTTTCCACTGCTGGATGAAGGCCTACTCCAACCCTGTTTTGGCTGCCGCTTGGACATTCGTTTTTTTTTACCTGCTTATTTAAGAACGCCTCCCTGGGTCAGCATTGAGATGTTTGGCAAATTTTGTTTTCGTCAGAGTTCTGCTTGGCAATGGTCTTGGAGCCCATTCCAGCCTTGTGTAGGTCTACAATCTTGTCCCTGACATCCTTGGAGAGCTCTTTGGTCTTGGCCATGGTGGAGAGTTTGGAATCTGATTGATTGATTGCTTCTGTGGACAGGTGCCTTCTATACAGGTAACAAGGTGAGATTAGGAGCACTCCCTTTAAGAGTGTGCTCCTAATCTCAGCTCGTTACCTGCACAAAAGACACCTGGGAGCCAGAGATCTTTCTGATTGTGAGGGGGTCAAATACTTATTTCCCTCATTAAAATGCAAATCAATTTATAACATTTTTGACATGCGTTTTTCTGGATTTTTTTTGTTGTTATTCTGTCTCTCGCTGTTCAAATAAACCTACCATTAAAATTATAGACTGATCATTTCTTTGTCAGTGGGCAAACGTACAAAATCAGCAGGGGATCAAATACTTTTTTCCTTTACTGTACGTACGTACAACACGATCACAGGCCGTGCGTTGCGGAGCGCGGCGCTGACTGCCGGGTCTGTGGGTTGGTGCGACGGTGCGCGCGCGTTGTGGCTGTGCCGCCAGGTTCCCGTACCTGGACGAGGCCGTGGTGTCCCAGCTCTCGGCGTTGCCGGCGCACGTGAAAGCCGAGCCCGGCGCGGCGCGCGGCACGGGCGACAAGCTGCTGCTGCGCCAGGCGGCGCTCGTGCACCTCGGCCTGGCCGAGGCCTCCGCTCGGCCCAAGCGCGCCCTGCAGTTCGGCTCTCGCATTGCGCACATGGAGGGGGGCGGCGGTGGCAGCGGCGGCGGCCCAAGGGAGCGTGGGTCCGATTCCTGCTCGCGGCTGGTGCAGCAGCACCACCCCTCTCCTGAGTGCGTCTGATGGGAGGAGACGCGGTGGCTGCGCGTTTGCTGTGCATGAGTGTAAAGCGTTTTAAGGGGGGGATGGTGGTTGTGTTTGGGCAGGGGGGGACGTGGTGGCGTCTGTGCTTGACAATGGAGGCAGTTGTGTTTCAAAATGTTGATAGTGTTTTAGTGAGACTGAGAAATGTCACTCTGAAATGGCCGGCCATCTGGCCGTCTGGTGGGGTGTTTGATGGGGGTGGCTATTTCTTGGGGGGGGGGGGGGCCTGACGGCTGCGTGCAAGAGTTAAAAATACTGCTTTGTATGAGAGATACAGCTGTCTCAAAGTGATGGCTGCAAACGACAATAAATAATAATCCCATAATGTGAGAGGAAATGTTTGCCTTTATAACCACGTGAGAGACAACATTCTCTTTGCAAGGAAGACCAGGGATGAAAAGCAATGGATGTTACAGAAATATCTCAATAAAAGGGAACGTAGATGAATCCAACGTTTCTTGAGTTTCATAAAAGGCAAAAATGTGTACAAGAATGAAAGCTGATAAACAGATCAGGGCTGGCACTAGAGGGGTCCACATTTATAATTGTGCGTTTAGAGCTATCATTTCCGGCCAGGTAACTTCTGAAAGAGAGCTACTTGGTTCAGTGGGTACCTTACCAGGTGAAATAAATAAAAAATAGTTTAGGTGCTGGGGTAGGTCCTGCATCACCAAATATCGCTGCTTTGACCTTTCTCGTGGCTAGAGGTCTTCGCAAAGGTTAGCCAAGTGTCGCAGTCTTGCGAACCAACAAATCCTATCTTCGCTCACCTGCACACGAGCCGATGTCATAGCTCCCATCTCTGGGTGGATGACTTCCCGGGAGCGTTCCTTCCTTTGCCTGCCACTACACCGTTAGTCTCAACTCCTTCCCGACCATCTCTTCGGGCGACGTTTTGGTTCAGCACGCACGCACGCAAGTTGGGAATGAAGGTCACGAATAAGCAATGGGAATTCAGAACTTGAGGATTTCATCTTCTATACGCAGATACGAGGATTGGCCAGCTGGTGGCGTGAGATGCCCAGTGGCGCGGTGAGACGACTAAAGGCAGTGGATTTTTGTTGTAACCAGTTTCTAACCAATGATTCAAAACGCCAAGCCACCAGCATTCACGCAGCACCGTCAGTGATGCAACAAGTTAACATGATTTGGGTTTTTTTTTTATTGACCAGTGTTGTGAGAAAGTGTCGTAACTTGCTGGATGTACTCTCCAGCTAAATGCCGTGTCCATTTAAATGTTGTGAAATTACATTAGAGCAGTTTTCTTCACCAGTTTTCAGAGTGGGTTTTCGGGGGTGGGGGGGGGGGGTCACTTTCGCCGATAAGACATCATCAGTGTCAGGGCCGATACACATTTGAAGCCATTTTTGGGTTTGACAGCAGCACGATGATATTTTAATACACAATGGACAGGAACGACGAGTACACAGGGCTCGCATAATGCGCCTTGACTCAGAAGCGTGGTCATCACATCTACGCCTCTAAGCAACGAACCAGGTCATTACTGGCGAAACGTCGTACTCTGATTGTAAATGTTCTGGCTTGGCTCTCCAACACACCGGTGCTGCTGTACCAGTGACGAATTTGCCACGTTCTGTTTACGTGACAACCCTTACTAGTTGGCTGTGTCGGGTGGTGGCGGGTTTTAGGGGGCCGTCCATAAATGACGTCACGCACCTAGGGTGGGGGGGGGGGTCAGACATTTGTGACGATGTGTGACGAGGGGGGTGGGTTTGAGAAATGTGACGTCACATCAAAATGCGCAACTTTAAATAAATATAAACAACACGTTCCACTTAATTAAATAGACTGTTTAATAAATACTCTTACCTACGTGACTTTACCGTTTAAAAACAAAGAGCATGAATCCTTGCAGTCACGAAAGCTTCAAATCTAGAATTTTTTATAAATGTTTTTTCCTACAACATCAGAGTGCAGCGGTACATTAAAAGCGCGCTACAATGACAATAGTTTAAAGCGATTTGAAGCATGTGTTTTTTTGGGGGGGGGGGCAGAGCATTGTGACGTCATTTGAGGGGGGGGTCTGACTTTGTGACGCCGTGTGACAAGGGGGGGGTCAAAAATCGCGTGACGTCATTTATGGACGGCCCCTAACGACACATTTACGCGATCTAACCCAAAAAAAACCTCGTGGATGCTGGGGGTGTTTTCACCATTTGTGTATTGTCGGTAGTCGCCGGTGGCCCACGCGCCTTGCTATGAGGAACCACTGCTCGACCACTCCGGTGGAATAATAAATAACACGTGATTAATAATAACACGTTTGGCACGTTAATAATAATAATAACACGTTTGGCACGTTAATAATAACAACACGTTTGGCACGTTAATAATATATTTTTATTATTTTATTGTTTCCCTTCTACGTGACTTTACCGAAAGAACCAATAATATAATAATAACACGTTTGGCACGGGGCTGGGTGGGGAGGGTGGGAAGGGGCTGGGTGGGAGGGGTGAGGCTGGGTGGGGAGGGGCTGGTCACCCCGTGGTGCCCTTATAAAACTCAACGTTTAACCTACTCACGCCGGCTTGTGCCCGCCCTCACAGTCGGGCATATTTGCGGAATACACCACGCCGCCGTTGACCCTGGCCATTGACCGAGCAACCCAACGTTCCTACCAGCTCCCTCCGCAGGAGAATGTGTTGTCTCAATAGGCAAACGCGTTTTCTATATATATGCTCAGTTTTTGCTACAAATTGAACTGCTTTGCCAGCCAGAAAAGTGATCATGTTTGTGTAACTAATACCATGTTCTTCTTGGTTCTTTCGGTAAAGTCACGCAGGAGGTGACTTTACCGAAAGAACCAAAGAGAATGGATTCCTGCAGTTACGAAAGCTTCAAATCAATAATTAATACCATGTTCCTCCTCCCCCCCCCCCCCGTGTTTAACACGTAGCAGGCTTTTGCGACCAGTACTATTCATAATAAAGGTTTTTAGGGTTAGATCACGTTATTTATAAAAGTGTTGTAACCCTCCACCACCCTACACGGCCAATTGGTAAAAAAAGTGTCACGTTGACAAAAGACAAAATAGTTCACGACTTTAGCCCACCGGTGTGTTGAAGAGTGGAGCCACAACATTTACAATTTGAGTACGACGTTTCGCTGCCAATTACATCTAGCATCGTTGGGCGATTTGCCAGAATAGTGAAGCCATCCACCTGCTTCCGGTCTTAAATAGTGCAGGATGACGTCATAATTCTTGAACCCCGTCAGGATTCGAGATCAGAGGTAGTGATGAATGCAATAATGTAATAGATCAGTAATCAGCCACTAAGCATGTGACTCACCTGTAATGAATTGCAATGTGTTGTGTATTCCTTAATACGCTTCCAGGCTGCGCTGAGTCTATAGCTATCACGGCGATTAAAATTATTTGAATTCTCAATTTCAATTGATTATCTAACTCATCTTGGCCAGTAATAATTAGTTATGCAAACCACTTCAACTTTATCAAAATCAATTGAATCTCTTTGTTGGCAAGCATGCTCTGCCACTGCTGACAGCTGTGTTTGAGATAATTTAATGTTTCTTTGGTGTTCTTTTAGTCTTACGCTAATGTTACGTCCCGTCCGTCCAATATAACATTTTCCGCATAAGCAATTGAACCGATATCCACCTTCTGTTGATAACTTCCGTAATTCATCTTTAGTACAATACACTAGTTTTTATTTTGTGTACTGTACCAAATCTCACTTTAATGTTTTGCTTTTGCAAAACACGGGCTAATTTGTCAGTAACTCTCGAGATATATGGTATTTTAATTGTTTTGATAATCTGATCACTTTCAGCAGTATTGTTGTTCGATCTTGATTTGGCAATCAATGCTCTGTTAATTTGAGCATTATTGTAGACATTCAGTCGCAGTGCTTCTTTGACATGTTTAATCTCTTTCCTTAAACTTTCACCATCTGACACTGTCTTTGCCCGATGTACGAGCGTCTTGATGAGAGAGGCTTTCTGTGCTGGGTGATGATGAGAATCTGCATTCAGATAGCCATCCGTGTGCATTCCCTTTCAGTAGACGCTGCGTGGTGTTATTTTGCCATTTTGACCGCGTCCAAGCAAAATATCCAGGAATGGGAGTGTGTTGTTCACCTCCATTTCCATGGTTAACTGAATGGCTGGGTTTTGCGCATTGAGATTATTTTAAAATTCATGAAGTGTATCTTTACCATGTGGCCAGACAACCAAAGTGTCAGCCACATATCTAAACCAAAAAGATGGTTTTAATGTACTTGAGGCAAGTGGTCTTGTTTAAAAGTTTTTTTCCATGAACAGATTTGCTATAGCAGGAGACAAAGGAGATCCCATTGCTGCTCCTTCCTTTTGTTTAAAGAAGTCACCTCTCCACAAGAAATAAGTGTTATTTAAACAATGGTCGCCTAGTTTTGGAATCTTTTCTGGTAAACCTGGTAATAAAATCGTTAGGAAAAAAACCCGCCACTTTTTTCAAATTTTCTTGCTGTGGTTTTCACACCTGATGATGATTGCTTGTGTTGTAGTCGAAACGTGATAATTGTATTGTTTATATTTTTATTATTTCCCTTCTACGTGACTTTACCGAAAGAACCAAGAATATGAGTCCCTACAGTCACGAAAGCTTTAAATCAAAATAAAATCGTTGTTTATTGCTGTTGACTTGTGGTTGTTGTTTGACTTGCATCCCACTGGGATTTTTGCACACAGCGTTGGTGTACGGTGCTATTTCAGGAATATTTTGTGGGTTTTTTCATGGATTTTCTGTTTGCACAGTCACAAAGTCACTTTAAGATGTTTTCTTGTTCCTGTTTTTTTGTTTGTTGCGGTTGCACCCGATTCAAGAGCCCAATGGCTCACTGGGCTACACCAAATAAATGGAACTATGGTTGTTTCCACCTGATGACGCGCACTTGTGTTGCGCCCGAAACGTCGTGATTCAAATTATTTTATTTAATACCTACGTGACTTTACCGAAAGAACCAAAGAGCATGAACTTGCCTTCTTTTACCAGTGCATCAAGTAATTTAAGTGACTCGTTAACTGGAACATTCCCCCCCCCCTATTTTAAATCACGAATGGTTGCGCCCAGTCGCCAGAGTGGGCGGGACGTCTCGTCCAATCAGAGCGGCTGTTGTTGGAGGGGGGGGGGGGGGAAGCCTCCGACCAATGAGAGGGGCGCGCTTATTATCGGCGCGCTCATCATGGCGCCGGAGCGGCTGGTCGCCTTCTCAGCTCCTTAAGCGCGACACCGATAACGAATTGTAAATAATAACAATTAACAATTACCAGCGTCGCGATTGGCAAAAACAAATAGTAATAAATAGCGTCGTCAGTTTCATTTTATTGTGAACGTCGCGACCGTTCCCGAGGCGCCGAGGCGCAAACATGGTTATGTTGAAGTTGAGCGAGCAGGTGAGGGGAGCGCGAATCGTGATTTTTTGTTGTTGTTGAATGAGATGTCCCTCAGATACTGTCGCTACATTTAAAATTGTCCGAAGAAACGTGCAAATTGCTGCTATTGCTGCTGATGTGAAAGTGCCGAATCTGTGCACGTGGAATAACGGTGTCGCGTTGTGTATACGCGCGTATTGTTGTGCGCCTCGGCGTCTTTCAGACGCTACAGTACTTAATGATGGCAAATACGACATTTAAACGCCTTGCTACGTATTGTGTTGTTCTGAATGTACTTTCACTCCTCTGCAATCGGGGCGATCGTTATTGTAATAAGCGTGCTATTAATCATTCTTGTTACGTACACCGTTGTATAAGCAATGCGCATGCTTTCATTTCTCGTAGGGTCTAAGGGTTGACATAGGTAAGCCATCATTGCAATCGCTACATGGTAATAAAATCGGTACCACTTTGTGCGAAGTCGTCAATGGTTGTTAAAGCTGATCCCTGCCACGGGAATGTGGAATTTCCACTGGTGGAGATGCGCGCCGCGCAATGTCCGTAGGAGCATAGAGACCCTTTTGTCAATCCACTGCTGGATGAGGGCCTCCTCACGCCTGGCACTGTCCAAGCTCAGACCTGCTTGGCTTTCGAGGTCCGACCAGGTCGGGCGCATTCCCAAGCCCGGGTGATTTGTTCATAGACGTCGAGGGTTAGAGTGATGCTGTTGTTAACTACCTCGGCCGGTATACAGGAGGTCGTGGGTTCTATCCTGGCTCTGACGCCTGTTGTCTATTTGGAGGTTGCACGTTCTCCCCCGTGGTTCGCGTGGATTTTTCTCCAGGAGAACATGCAAACTCCGTTTTTTCCCCCCTCCACATTTAGAAAACATGTTGCTTAAGTACAGGATTTGGCTGCTATACATTTTCACATTTTAAGCCGCTTCATTTGGGCTATCATTTGTGACCAGGTCGCTTCTGAAAAAAATATATATCTCAGTGGGTCTTGCCTTGTAAAATAAAAATAGTTAAATAGATGAATGTAGTTTTCACGGTAAAAATGAACGTGCTCTTCACATTTGCCCCTCTTAGC